CCCTTCAGAATTTTATTTTGTCAAACTTAGTCTTGGACCTCACAATTTGGGCTTTTCCCCTATTACCATTGCTAACTCCTCCAAATGCCCAAATTACCCTTATTTCACTTATATTCATTTTAATTAATAATAATACTAATAAATTAATATTATATACTATTAATCAAATTAATAACCCAAAAATGCACATTTTTCCAATAATCCACCAAATTACCGAAAATCACCGAAAAATAAATATTCTCAATTAAATAAATTAATTAAAATATTCTAATTAAATTTAGGGTGTTACACCAATCCAGTCTAGCTTAAGGTCAGGCCTAGGTCAGACCCAATGAGGAGATTGGGCACAATATAGCCGTTGGGCACAATATAGTCGTTGGGCATAATATAGTCATTGGAGCATATAGTCGTTGGGAATGTAACACCCTTCTAAACCCCACGGAAAAATATACGAACAATCAGAGTAAATTTTCATGCATTCACAAAAGGGCGTCACACATAACTTTCGAAACATCAAAACCACCTGTCATGCTCATTAACACTTATAATAAATAATCATGCTTCTCACAATTTCACTTTGCATGTAGCAGCGGATTCATTTTATAACAATTCTCTTAACAGAATATTCAGATTCATCACATACTTCAACATTACTTAGGCATCAAGGCCAACATCATAATATTCCAATGAATATAAATACATAATGTATCTCTAAAATATAAACCAAACGATCTCAGTGTTACATGACCAGAGCATGACTCGACCCAATATAACTAAATTACTAAATGGCTACACTAACAACGACCATGCAACTACGAGCAGCTCTATTCTCGATACCTGCACGATGTCAGATAGGACATCATTCCAGCAGAAAGGTGAGAAATATTATCATAATAACAATGCATATAATCATATATGTATACACAAGCATAGAATACACATATTTCACATTTTTCTCACCACAATTCATTATGATAATCATATACCTCACAATGTTTATATAAACCAATATGGATAATCATCAAGCGTGTTCATCATACACACATCCATAAATCCTCATCATTCCACATCAACATGCTCATATTATGTTTATTCACCAATTCACAATTACACATTCACAATACATATATAAACAGATATGGATAATTACCAAGCATATTTTATCATGCCTACATCCAAAATTCTAAATCCAACAATTCACGCACATATGCATACTTTCATACAACAATCACATATTCATCATTCTCAATTACACAAGTCATGTACATACACATATGCATAACTTCATACAGCAATCATATATTCATGCCATGAGACTCAATGCAACTTAATGCAACTCATGCCATGTGGTACCAACACTTGTTATCATTTTTCGGTTTTTACATTTAAACCAGGTCCATTCCCTAGACCGATAACAACAAAAGCCCATTCCCTAAGCTTTCAAACCCCGCTCTAGGTTTGGGACAAGTCACTACCCTCCACGAGACTAGCAAGCATTGCCTCTTGACTAAATGATGTGTATGCAATCAACAATCATATGCACTTAAGACCGTTCTCGCATCTTAATCATATGCATACTCAAATAATTCATCACACAAGAATTATAACATGATTGCACACTCACACATCATATCAAAGTATTCATACTTTCAACATCATCACATTTATCAAGCAATGCACACATATTCACAATATGTTCCCATGCATTCTTCACAATATTGCATACAATCAATATGCATTTCACAATATCGCGCCAACGGCAACGAACTCAACCACATTCATCGTGCACTTTTAATTAATTTAAACGATGCATATATTTGTCAAAAGACCACATTTATCAAGCAATGCACACATATTCACAATATGTTCTCATGCATTCTTCACATACAATCGCATATAAATCATTATGCATCCACATCATCGTGTCAAACGGCAACAAACTTCATCACAAATCATCATACATTTTTAATCAATTTAAACAATGCATCATATATGCCAAAAGGCCACATTTCACAATCGATTCCATAATCTAGGATTCACGCCATATGGCTACCCACAGCATAACATATCACAACAGTACACAAACTATTCATTTCTGATAAGGATTGAACACAATCGAACCAAACAATCAACATTGGATGGAAACACAAAGAAATGAGAATGTTGTCACGCTCGATGGCTTGCTCGCCTAACGAGCTCCTAGCGAACACTCGCTACCTACTCGCTGGGGCTTCGCCTAGCGAACCCCTAGCTACCTCGCTCACTACTAGCGAAGCGGGTCAATTACATTTTGTCCAAGTCTGGAACCATTCGCTACTAGCTCGCTACTAGCACGCTACAGCGAACACTCGCGACTTGCTCGCCTAGCGAAGGTGCTAGCGAACGTTTGCGATGTTCAAAACCCCAACTGTCCAAAATCATCAAATCACCACAAAATCAACTGATTCAATTCCAACGAATTCCAGTAGTCTTAGCCTAACATTCCTCGACTAATCTACACCATTTATTCTCAATCTTAATCGTTAAAATATCGATTCTACCGATTAAACTCGTTTCTGCCCTAAAATGGAAAATAATGGAGAACCTCCCACAAATCCAAACACACACATACATAATCACATACATTGGTAAGATAACAATATTTCACACTCTTACCTTGATTAATCGAAAGCTAGAAGTCGTTTTGATGATTCCAAGTTTTTCTTCTATTTTCTCCTCTTCTCTCTTCTTCCTTTTTTCTTTCTCTTCTTTTTCCTTTCTCTCTATTTCTATCCTTTTCTTTCCACTTTCTCTTATATATATATCCTTCTCTTTTATTTCTCCTCAATATATCTCATCTCATCATTAATTAGAAAAGATCTAGTAAATTCACCTTATTCTACCAAATAGAATAAATCAGTTAAATCCATTAACTCATATAAATTAAATAGATCCAATAATTCATTAAATCAATTAATTAGTACAAATAATCAATTATTGAAAATTGGGTTGTTACAGGGAACATCCCCCTCACGTGCTGGACAGTTCACGCGATCAACTGCCCCTCCGAAATTCACGGGGACAGTTGAACTAGGTCAAAGATCACGCGCTAGATCTTCCATATGGAAGTCTGCCATTGGTCGACCATATATTTCGGCCACATGGGAGACCTTGATCTCGCGCTGGGAAAATCTCATAAATACCCTCTCTCTTGATAGGGTCGGGTATTCTAATCATTCTCACTCACACCTAAACACCCGTACTTGCTTCCTCTCTAGCCTAAAACTTACTTTGACATCGGAGTACCTTATAGGTACACCCCTTCCTCTCCTACAAGCATTGTTGCTGCCCTACACTGAAGGTCAAGACGATCCATTCTGATCACTCCATATCACTTGATATATATAAAAGTTGTGGATCTGATAAAGACATTGTTTGTTATTGAGTGAAAAAAACCTACTTTGTGAGGGTGTGAATCATTTGACAAACTCTTATTGAGTGACGAACTATAGAAATTACTTAAATATATATATATATATATATATATATATATATATATATATATATATATATATATATATATATATATATATATATATATATATATATATATATATATATATATATATATATATATATATATATATATATATATATATATATATATATATATATATATATATATATATATATATATATATATATATATATATATATATATATATATATATATATATTCAAATGTTACAACTCTTATCCAATTTAAAAGAAAAACAATGTTCACCATCTTATCTTAAGGATAGAAGAGCGCATAAAAGTAAGGGTATTGCAAAATCAAAAGTTGGAAAGAAAAAGATATTTTGAAAAATAAAATTCAAATAGTACTAATGTAATAAAAGAAAATAAAATGTTGATATAAAACAATTCAAAAATGAAATGTCATGCATACAAAAGAAAAATCACCAAAATAAAATGGTTATGAGAAATGTGATGTAAAGAAAGAGAATTCTAAAAATGATTTATGATTATCTTTAAGTTTTTGAATTCAAAGATAAACCAATATACTATTTAGATGAAATGCATAGTATTTTTATAGTTCGTGCATTGTCTGATTTTTTAAGGATACACTAATCACTGAGCGATACTCAATAAGACTATGATTCTGATAAATAGTTAACTATTAATTTATGCATGTTTTAAAAATCTTACTTTAGTCAGGCAAATAATAATTCACCTTTTATGCTTAAGATTTATGGATATTCATGAGGTTGATTATAGACTTACATTTGAAAAGATGTTATGGCAAAAAAAAAATTCTTGACCAAAGTCTTAACCTTTCATTGAAACATACATTCAAAATATTTCTGAATGATTTTGTCTGAAGACAAAAGAAAAAAAAAACTGTAAAAGAGTTGATGAGTTCAAACTTACGTAAAATATATAGGCCCTTATAAATTTATTTTACAAACAATTAATATAAAAAGTGATACAACATTTGTTTGGTTTTCTTTAACATGTATTAACTAAAACATATAAAAACAATTGAAGTTATTTTTAACACTGAAATCTCAAATTTATTTTTTGTCATTTACTTTCACGTATCAAAATAAATATAAAATTCTTCCCTCCTTAAAATCTTAAAATCTATTGAATGATTTTTAAAACTATCATGTGTATACCATAATTATAAAACTTAGTTTTGTGCTCAACAGCAACAACAAATATTTCATCATAATTGGAATTCCAACCGAAGTGATAATCTGTGCTTTCCTATTTTTTATAATTTTTTAATTAAAAATAAATTACATCAAAAGGGTCTAATGAGACAGCTTTGCACAGAATATGCACGTCAACTAATTCTAAAAATGCAGACCTCCTTTATTTCTAAGCTATAAGAAAAATGGAGATATTTAAAATGAAAAAAACAAAAGAATGCTTGTGATTCAGAGTATAAAAGTATGAATGTTATCTAGATTTGTTTTTCCATGGAAGTGTAGTACATCTGATCTTTGCATTCTTGTTCACTTGTGAAAAAACTTCCAGATATCTCTGTCAGCCAAATCCTTAACTAAATGAACTCCAAAAATGCCTTCCTCATCTACCACATTTCTCAGCTGTTTTACTCCATTACTAAATCCAACATAGTGTTTCTTAGTTGGAGCTAGATATACTACTCCATATTGAGGCCTTATACACTGTTGCGAAAACGGAAACCAGAAACGAGGAATTATATGCCGCAGATACGAAGATTATTAGTGTAGCATTAAAATGAGAAAGGAAAGAAACAAACCTTCTTAATGAGAGCATACAGCTTCTTCAAAGAGCTAACAGAGTATGGAATCTCTGTCATTAAAATAATGTCATAGCCACCATCCCCTTGATCTGCCTCGTTAGCTCTTTCCCATGCTCGACTTCCTGAGAGTTTCCTAGACCTTCTTGAACTAGATTCATGTCCAACAATGCTGCCTTCTTGACTACTACATCCATCCAAAAAATCTTCCTCGGAGAAGCTCAAACTCATTCCAGGTGTCACTTCATATCCATCATTTTTCACAGTCGACAATACAGCTGGTAGTTCATCCCAGTCCCCAGCATAAAAGTTAACTGATGGTGCCAGAGTCTGTCTTGAAGGAGTAAGGGGAGTTTCTGGCTGTCGACTCTGCCTATCACGAGCTTGCTTCAGATTACCAAGGACATTTGGTATAGTTGTGCATCTTATAGTCTCTGCATTCTGATCTTGAAAATGCACTATGGAAGCTCCCTGTGAAGTAAAGAAGCATTTAGATGAAAAGAAGCATATTATTCCAATGAAATTATAACTATTATTTGTTATTTTCCAAACCAAAAGACACAAAATTATAACTATTGTTTGTATGTTTGCAATGTTACCAAAAAGGAATCTTAAGTCTTAAGGTTGGTTGCACCAGAACATTGTTCTGTCTCTTGTAAACTTTTGTCAACACATGGAAGGTATAAAAAGAAGGTGCAAGAACACTGCATTGGGAAGCCCAATTTTGAAACTGTTACATTGAATAATTTAAACCAAAAATTCTGATTGTATTTCACGTATTGAAACTACAATAAACCAAGACCTACACAAACTAGATAAATTCCAGCTATCAAATACACACAAACTAGTGACAAATGACTCAAAAAAAGAGATACTGAGTACTGATACCTCAAGTACAACTATATACCTTTAAGCAAGCAAAGATTCCAGGAAGTCCATAGCTACAATTGAGCTGCAAGAGATGTGAAGTAGAATATTAAATTATGAATTATAAACTCTTAAATACCACTTAAATTAGTTGAAAAATATGGATTAAGGGAGAAAAAAAGAAAGCAATTTCATGACGATGTAGCTAATATTGACAGCAATTGAAAAATGAGAGCAAGAGAGTGAAGCACAAGGAGAATTAAAGACAAGCAAATCAAGACATAATAGCACGCAATAATCTCTTAGACAAGTTACCTCAAGTACTCTTTTTCCTCTGAAGGACAGTTGCCCATCGCGAATCTCATTCTTAAGAACACTGACAAGATCAATGGAACTGGCCCAGGATTTTAGATAGCCTACAAAGTCAGATAGATCAATCTGATACGGCCCTTCCTTTGTATTGATTGAAAACAAATTATATGTATAATATATCAATATGTAATTGTTAAAGGATATTATCCTCAACAAGAATCATGTTATTATTTTTCTGACACAAAATTGGATTTTTAGGTTGGTTAAATAATTTGAACTGATACCGCATTAACCTTAGGGACTGTCCTTTCCTTTCATGCCAAAAAAGTTTTTGCTCTGAATACAGAGCATACTAAGATTCTCTGCTATATTAATTTGTTAAATGTGTTATTTTTACATAGTAATGCACTAGAAAGAAAATACCGGTTCACAGGAAAACTATCACATGTCCAATGGCTACAGACTGAAATTTCATGTACATACCATCCGGTCTTGAGGATATTGTCTCTGAACCACCAAACCCCATGATATCAGCAACACTTACTATTCCCTGCAGAAGGTTTAAGATAGCATCAGTTTCCTCCCAGGTATTAAACTAACTGATATACGATAAGCTCTAAAATCATGTCAAGATTGTTGAAGACAAAAAACTTGAGAAATTTTTCAAGAAAATGAGGAACCGAAAGAGTTCTTGTTAAGAAATATTCTAAATTCATCATTCAAAAGTGCACGAGGTACGACAGATATGAAAAACTAAAGGATCTCGTTGGACACATTTGGAAAACATGCCTTTGGCAAAATAATATCAAAGGATAAAACCTGCATTCCATTTTATTGATATGGATTTTGGGTGCATGTAATTGTTTGCCAACTGCACCACATCCCAACAAAGAAAGTTATTTTATCTTATGGTCAAATTAAAAAATCAAAAGATACGCATTGAATGATTGAACTTCCGGCCACACAGTTAATATATAATTTTATGTAATTGTCTTCCTATTGATACTAACCAAATGAAAGAATGGAAACCAATCTGAAATCCTTCCACTATCATTGATTCAACAATAACACTAATTTCATATAAAAAAAATTAATTAAGGACACGATCCATCTAATTGTGCCACCCTCAGAAAACAATTACTATGAAATGAACTATGTTGAGAGACGTACCTTAAAATGGTCAATATTTTCCCCGCCTTCCTTGTCAGTGTGAAATGCCTGCAGAGCACATATTTAAATCCGTTACACTTCCTCCCACAGTAACCCCAGAAGCAAGCAAAAAAATCAACTAAAATGCCTTAAATGCAAGGTAAAGTTTCTTTTTTTGTTGTTGGTTGATTAATGGGTGATTAATTGCCCGAAGATAAAAATGGGAGTTGTACCTTTGAAGGAAGAATCTCTACTGCCGGTGACGCAAGATGAATATCTTTCTCAAAAATGGAGGATGCTATACTGAGACTTCCGCGGTCATGAGGCACTAGGCCAGGCAGGCATTGTGCGAGTATTGCCGGTGCACGCATCGTAACTGGTTCTAAGAAGCAATCTCCCGGAACTGATAAGATAAACTATTATAAATTAGAATTCGCAATAGGATACACCACTAACACTAGCTATCAAACCGTTACACTTACATCACACCAGTTAATCACTTTCTTGCAGAGCAGGCACAGTTCCTTACGAAAATCTGCGCTCAGACGAGATTCTTGCAGAGGTGCTCCTTTCCGGTCCTGAGGATCTGAGGGGAGTCCAGACGTGAGGGTTGTCGACTCTGGGGACCGATCATTTGGAAGTCAGCTAAGTGAGGCCTCTTCATGACTTGATGATGCCACTCCTTCTGAGAATCGTATCGTCACTCATGAAAGTCTGTGACGCTGATGACCGCATAGGATGCCGTACCTTTGTCCGTGGATTAGGTCTATCCTACCTGTGAGAGGGACTGGGTTATTGCAGGAAAACTGGCCGTCAGAAACCATGATTCAGTACCTTTATCAGCTGGTGTTCTTGATTCATCTCCAGGTGTGTTGTTTGGGTCAGATGGGTTTCTTATCTGAGGTTGATGCTATTATCAGATGGTATTCTCGTCAGATACAGAGGTTCAGATGGTTTTCTTACCAGGGGATTGATATTTTGAGTATCAGATGGTAGTTAGTGGCATGAGATTCTGGTGACCGTGTTGGTTTTCTGTTCTCGATCACGGAGATGTTCCTCTTCAGGCTACAGCATAGCCCCTGTGTTCGCAAATTGCATCATCTATCATATTGCATCATTACCATCTGCATTCAACTAACGTGTGTGTATTGCAGGTACATATTTTCCCTTCCAGTTCTGGTGTTTGTTCCTAGCAAGACATGGAGAACCTGAAGAGAGTATTGCCCTATAAGTTTCCGTCACCGAATATCAGTCTATTGTTAGAATTGATTGCTATTGCTAAGAAGAGGGGAATGGGTGACTTCAGAAAGAGATATGGGAGGATTCTGACCTACGTTTATCAGCCATCTGCCTACGAGACCAGCGGCATCTATACTCTGTTACAGTTCTACGACGCGGAGCTCAGGTGTTTTGTATTTCCCGACTTCGTTTTGGCTCCTACCCTGGAGGAGTACTCTGCACTTCTGGATATACCGATCCGTGAGCAGATGCCTTTCTATCGTACGGACGCTGAGCCTAAGCTGGCTGAGCTTTCTGCCATCCTGTGCTTGAAAGAGTCTGAGCTGTCTGGGAAGATGATCAGAAGAGGAGACGTATGGGGATTTCCGTTGGATGTCTTAGTGGAGAAGGCTCGGGAATACGCCCAGAAGGGTAGCTGGGGTGTTTTTGACGTCATCCTTGCTGTATGTGTGTATGGCATCGTGTTGTTCCCGAACATTCCTGATTTTGTTGATTCAGATGCCTTCTATATTTTGGCTGCGGAAAACCCAGTTCCTACTTTGCTGGGAGATATCCACCATTCAACTCACTACCAGAATGAAAAGCGACGAGGAAGGAATGTGTCTTGCTGTGTACCTCTCCTGTGTAGGTGGTTCACCAGTCATATGCCTAAGTCAGGCCCTTTTGTCACCTCTATCAATTCTCTAGGATGGCCCGAGCGCTTAATGGGATTGACTGCTGAGAACGTGGTATGGGTCACTAAAGAGGTATTTGGAGCTGAAGTCATACTCAAAGGCGAAGGATTCCCGAATGTTCCTTTAGTGGGAAGGAAGGGGTGTGTCAACTACAACCCTTCCTTATTGATCAGGCAATTTGGGTATGTACCTCAAGGAGCGCCAAAGCCCGAGGAGATACAGGAATCTCTGTATCTCACCGGGGCAATTGGGAAAGAGATGCTGACCAAACTTGAGAAAGCCTGGAAAAACTTGCACAAGAGAGGGAAGCTTTCAGGTAGCAGAGGGGATACTCGAGTTCCTGGCCCATATGTGGAGTGGATTCGTGAGCGAGCTGTGAAGTTCCTGATACCTTATCCAGCGGTTCAGCCATTGCATCCTCCTCCGGTGGAGGAACCCACCACTGTGGACATTCAGGTCTACAAGCAGCTGATGGCAGAGAAAGAAGAGCTAGCAAGGGCTAAGGAGGCTTTAGAGCAGGAGAATGCCCAGCTTCGGCATGAAAAGATTGAAACAGGATACTTTTCCAAGCAACAGGCTGAAACTCTGAAACATCTAAAGACTACGTTATTGGAATTGACTGAAACCAAGAAGCGTCTGGAGTTAGATATAGACTCAGTTAGTAGTGTGTTGGCCACCAAGAAGCAAGAGCTGGAAAGGGCCTACACAAAGCTAGCCAAGTTCAGAGAACACTGGGATCTCACTATGACCAAGCGCAAGGAGCGAGAAGAAGAGCTGAAGACACAGATTGCTCAGTTAGAAGAACAGGTCAAGGTGAAGAATGAAGAGCTTGAAGAAGAAGCCTGTCGCCGATACGAGGCCGAGCGCAAGCTGACAGATGCCATGAAGAATTTGGAAGATTTCCAGCATAGAGCAGATGCCAAGAGACCCAAACCTGGGGGCGGTGCCAATGATAAGGCTTGGGAAGACTTTGTCAGAGACATCCAGGGGACGGTCAGGAAGAGGGATCGGCTGATAGAAGGTTTGATTTATCAACCGGATCATGCAGAGACAAAGAAGATGGTCGAAGACTTCCGCAACCGTACCCGTACTTGATTTCTCTCTTGTATTCTGTATGATTGAGATCACCACCAGGCATGTTGGCTGGGATCCTCCTTATCATATCAGCTGTATGAAGCATAGTTATGTAACTTCTTGACAAGACAGTTATTCTAATGAATATATGAGGGTCTTTCTAAATATTGTCTTTATGGCTTATCTCGTCTTGCTACCACTGACACTGGAATTGGAGGAAAAATATCTCCAATGCACACATGCACGCTAGCATTTTTTTCTTGTATTTCTGTTTGCATAAATCATACTGCATAGCATTTCTCTAGCAGGTCAGAGCACTTATCCAACCTTTGTTTTCACCAGAGGGTGATTCTCGAGGAATTGTTTGAGGCAAGAGTAGAGTGCTGAAGACGACCAAGGGGCTGAAGCAGATTTGAGCAGAATCAAGCAGCATAGTCGGTTACAGGTAATTGGTAGCTATGTCTGAAGGCAATTTCCAGGCTCCTAACACCCTGGCGGGGTTTACTATGGCGTCCAACCATCAGTATGATTCTATGGAAGGCTTCCCGCAAGCAAACAATCTTACTGCAGACCAAGTTGTACAGCCTACTGTCCAGAATCGAGATCAGCATGAGCAGTTTGTTGCCCGAAATGAACATTATCCTCCTGTTAACAATCAATGTGTCGCTTTCCCTGCAATGAATTACCGAAGAGATATTCCAGTGACCGGGTTAGTAGATCCAAGAGCTCTTGACGATGGTAGAAGACTCCGAGCATTGGAAGAGCAAATGAAAGCCTTGGAAGCGAAAGATGCCGTTAACCTGGATGCTGTAGCCATGTGTTTGGTTCCTGACCTGGTGTTGCCGTACAAGTTCAAAGTGCCGGAATTTGAAAAGTACACGGGAGATAGCTGCCCGAAGCTGCATTTGATGATGTTCTGTCGAAGGATGACTTCGTTTGTGCGAAATGACAAATTGATGATCCATTGCTTTCAGTATAGCCTGACTGGGGCATCCTTGAGGTGGTATGTGCAGTTAGAGAGTAATCAGGTTCGATCGTGGGTGGATTTAGCCAGAGCTTTCATGAAGCAGTACGATTACAACCTGGATTTGACTCCTGGGCTCGTAGATCTGCAAGAATTGTCTCAGGCGGAGAATGAATCGTTCAGAGCGTATTTGCGAAGATGGAAAGAATTAGCTGCTAATGTTCAACCTCCGCTCCCGGAAAGAGAACTGGTTGACATCTTCTTGGGTACTTTGAAAGGCCATTATTTTGACAAATTGTTCAGTTGCACAAACTTTGTGGGCCTGATGAGACTGGGAGAGATTGTTGAGAGAGGACTCAGGAGTGGAAAGTTTCGAGATGTTCCTTACGTCCCAGTTGATAAGATTGAGTCAGTTGTCAGTTCTCAAGGAGAGTGGGAAGGAGATGACGCCACCTCAGAATCTCTAGCATCTCAGGATCAGTTTTCAGACACTTCAAGTCAACGATCATCTTACCGCCGATCGCGTCAGCATGCTCCACGAAGACCAAGGAAGCCTGAAAGGCAGTTTACTCAGCTACCGGTGTCGTACAGTCAGTTGTTGCCAGATCTGGTCAGAAGTGGATTGATAGTGCCGAAAGAGACTAAGCCGGTGATTCCACCGTATCCTCCAGGTTTTGATGCCAGCGCCCGCTGTGAGTACCATGTTGGGGCACAGGGACATTCCACCAATGATTGTAAGGTGCTTAGAAGCCAGATTCAGGATCTGTTAGACCCTAGCCGCATTTGCATCACTCCTCAGGGTTTTATTCAGATTAATGATTTTCCATCCTCCAGTTGTGTGGGTTCGTCAGTTAATGTCATGGAAGACTCCAAAGGAAGTGTGTGCTCTGAAGTTTGTCAATCAGAAAGTTCAGTTGTATGGGAGAAGTTTCTAGAGGTTTTTGCGCCGGATGTCGCATCTGTTTTCTCTGCTTAATCCGTTTAGCTTTTGTGCACTAGTGTCTGCCGACCACCACCAGGGTTGTTGGCTGGGGTCGTTATATTCATACTCATTTGTGCTTACCTGCTGATTTTGTTGGTTGTACATGTGTGGGAGATGTTCGTCTGTGTGCTTATAGCTTGAGTTTCTCTTTGTCTCGTTATGAATATGTGTTTGCTTTCTACGCTGCATTATCATTTAACAGGTATATCAGAACCGTGGGTCTCATTTCCTCATCGCCCAGTTTATTGCAGGAACTCCTTCAGAGATATGGAACAGAATCAGTTTGAATTGATCGAAGTCCAAAGCCAGCTGGGGCAGATGATGAGAGACATACAAAAGATGCGTCTGGAGCAGAAGATTCTCAAAGAGGAGAACAATCAGCTGAAGACCCAAATGAGCTTGATCATGGAGGTAGTCAAGAATGTGCTTAGGAAAGAA